CAGGGCCTATGATGCATGCTCAACCTTGGAACAACAGGGCTCTGGGATACAGGGATCTAGGCATAGCTTGAAGAGGGGAAATAATACCAAAATGCTTCACTGTCTTATGAATACTGGTTTCTCTTGCCTACTATTGTAAAATAGACACTTGAGTGGGATAGAAAGGAATGTTGGGAAACATGATTATAGAAAACTTGTAAGCTCATCTTTAACCTATAACTGATTGGAACACCTAAAAGGGGTTCTAGAACTTGCCCAGTGAAATAGGCCTCTTCCAAAGCCTTTGCAGAGTATAGGACCTTACGTAGAAACCTGAGTCCCATCAAGAACCTTATGAGTTGGGACATTCCCACTAGCAAGGACAAGCAGACCATCCTGGAAGAGCTAGAGCAACAGAAGATACATCTTCAAAGAAAGATCATCAGGAAAAACCCAAAGCAAAAATGTCGGCATGACTGGCTACTACAAGAACAAGCAAGCTGTTCTCCAGGAAGCCATCAAGGCAAGCAATCAAGTTTCTTCAGGACAAACTCCCCTGTAAGACTGCAACTAAAATGAAATGCATGAGCAGGCATGTAAGCTTGCTGACGACCACATAGGTCTACTGGTGAGTGAAAGAGGGGGAAAGGCAGCAATAAAGAAATGGGCTGAGGTCAACCGCAGTCCATTGACTCCTGTTGGCCTGGAGATGAGAGAGAGAGAAGAGGAAAGGCTGGTTGGTTCAAAATATGGTGAGACCTGGGGACACTTGAGCCCATGGACAAGGACATAGTCACAGAGGGCTAGAGCTGAAAGCGAAGCATCCAGCTGATATGAAGTGAGGAGAGATGCACAAGAACACCCATCTGACAGTACCCATCTGACCTAGCCTCAATGGCTTGATAATCAGAATTCAACTAGAGGAAGATTGGGGGGAAAAAAAGTTTTTATTAAAGGAAAGAAGGGTAAATTGTTACAATTTGATGAACTTGACCTACACTCATGGCAGTAATAACTCTAAATACCAACAGAGAGGGAAGGAGTCTTCACATCAAGTATCAATGCTATCCCTTCTGTACACAGGGTAGACAGGGACAGGCAACTTAGACATTGGCTACCTAAAATGAGGGGGCAATAAAGGTACGAAGTGACTGGCTTACAAGGTTTCAAGAGGGAGTTTAGTTTAAGAGTATGGGGCGGGGGGAAGAGTCCCCACTGAATAGTATTCATCTTGTCTAGATGGTTCTGGTAAAAAGAGATGAAGATAAGATTCTTATGATTCAGTAGTGAATAATCGTTATCATGACTAACTGGGACTGTAACAATTGTAAAGGTAGAAGTTTTGTAACAGAAACAGGGGAGTGGTTAATCTTACAATCCAGAAACAGAGGACCATCAAGGGAGACCGAATGAGGGACCTTACCCAGAGAAGCAGTGACGCCAGATATGGAGGTGGAGATGGGGTCATAGAGAGAGGGAGTGGCTGAGTACTCTAGATTTATGGGAAGAGAGGGACTAAGAGATGGTGGCCAGTAGGCAGACTTGCAGAATGTGCCTTTTGGAGGTGTAAATTATTATATATGCCTGAGTGTTGTTGTTTTTTGTTTTTTAAAAAGCTAAAGTGAAGAGAGAGAAATAGTGTTAACTGATGGTACATGGATTATAAACATTGTAATGAAACAAGGTGTATGATTTGTTGAATGTA